AGGCCTAAAGGTAGCATATTCATCCCACATACCTTTAAAAGCATTGTAGTACTAAGTAACAGTAAGAGAACCCTGATGCATGGTACTTAAAGACTTTTCTAACTGAAAAACTCGTGGTCCACTACTAACAACATATCGACTTTTGAGTTCATCCCATACATCTTTGGCAGAGTTAAATAATAACAAGGATTGTCTTTTATCTTTGGTTATAGAATTAAGCAACCATGACAAAACCAAAGTTATTAGCCCTAAACCAGGACACATAAAGAGTAGGGTAGTAGGGGAGGGAGATAACAGTGTACCGTCGACAAAACCACCTTTGTTCTTCACACTAAGTGCCATTAGAACAACACGAGACCAGCTGAAATAGTTTTCGCCGTTGAGGAGTTCAGCGACGATGAGAGCCCCTGGATTGTCACTTGCGTGTAGATAGTAGGGTAAAGAGGGATAGTCAGTCAGATTCAACGCAGTAGTCATATTGATGTGAGTGTAGAATTACCAGATTTTCAGAGAAAAAGCAAAGATGTATCATAGATCTAACAAATATAGATCAAAAATCAAAGAAAATGAGGATAGGGTTTCAGAGATTGAAAACCCTAATCGAGAATCTGAAAAAAAATGACCCGATCTTTGAGATGGAGATTGAAATCTAACAGAATATGATGAGCGGAAGCGAAAAAACAAAGGATTTTTGCGATTGGTACCATATTAACTCAAAATCAAGCATTAGATTGAAGAGAGCGAGAGGAAGATGAAGAACACGAGAAAGAAGAAAAATGAAGGTTGTGATTAAAATGAGAAGAATGAAAAAGTGTTTGTCCATTGAGGGGTTGAGCCTTTTTATACTTAGGGTTCATGAGGGACAAAATTGTAAAAATACAGTTGCCTATAGTTGTTATTTTATAAACAGCAACTTTAACACAATATACTAAGGGTGAGTTTGGTTACTTGAAGTGATTGGGTTTGATTAATTCCCATAAAAGAAATCAAGTGATATCCTTTGATAAAAAAGGCCTATTAACTTGTTTGGTTAATAAATCATAAATATAGTCTTTAATCTAAAATTACTTTTTTACCCTTTGGGTGAAATTAAATTACCCAATATTGCCATTCAATGTGCAATATAACTTTTTTCACAAATTAAAGATTTCTTCAACAGAACTTGGGAAATAATTTGAAAATAATTCTCACAACCCACCTAAAAAGCTCAGAGATCAAAGTGAAGCTTTCGCTGTCTGTTAATTCAATTTTTCGTAAGTGAACTCAAAATATTTTTGTTAGAAAGGTGATCTTTTCGATCCATTTTCCAATCTGGTGAATTGTTCCCGATTCAGATCCGATAAGGGCTCGGTGTAAAAGAAGCGTCGTTCGATCTTTTTGCATTTGCATCTTCGTCGGCGTCCTCGTATCGTCTTCTCTCGGACTTTACACAAAACTCCAATGTGCTCGCACAAGGGTAATAAATCACCTCAAAAGAGCCTAACTCTCCCCTTCTCCCTTAGATTACTGCTACCACCAAAACCCCTGTGGCCTGACCCTCCCCTTCACTCCGTCGACGTTAAGCTCCGCCGTCGGACACCGCCGACGTTGACTTCTCGCCGGAGCTCGTATGAATTCCTTGTGAATATGGTGGTTTTTTTATTTTTAGTTCGATAAATTGACATAAGAAAGAAAGGGGCATCTATGGAAATTTAAAGGCTAAGTTGTGATGGATTACACATCCCACCTAGAAGGTGGGATGCGGTATAACGAAATAGCTTGATTATATACTGAGCCATGGTCCTTTTCAAGGGCTTTACATTTTTGAACCAAACATATTAATAAGAGTAAAATATTATCAAATGGGGTAATATCCATCCAATTCCTCCCAACCAAACTGAGCCTAAAGGAATGAAATAACATTAATACTTAATGTTAATAATTATTTTATTCGAAAAAAAAAAATGTATACACATATGAATGGTCATGCTTAATATGAGATATAATATTGTCAACAGATTGAGTTATAGATATTTACATATAATTTTTTTTATCTAATGTATATTTATAAGATATTATTATATATATAATTAAAAAATTTAAAATTAATAACTAAAATTAACAAATTGGCACGATGACTGATGTAGGAAAAAGCGTACGAATGTGAAGATAAAAGAGATATTCTCTCTTGATAATACGCAAAAACAGATTTCTTATTTCATATTCAACTGCTCAATAACAAAGCATCAGATCTCTTTAAATAAAGCCCTCACCCTAGCTTATTCTCTAAGCTACTAATTATTAAATAATATTAATTGTCATAATAATAATAATAGTAATAATAATAATAAATATTATTTATTATTCTGCACCATTCTCCTCCGGTTGAGCAGGATTCGCCCTCGAATCCGACACGTTCCCGTTGGAGATGTCCCCATGATAGGAATAGTCCGACGTTTCCCCGATCGAACACGAATGACGAAGGTTGCCCAACTGCCCCGATGAGAAACATAAGCTTGAGCAAGTGTTGTGCTGCCGAAAAGGTACATGTACACGCCTCCCTACGCTTAACCCACACAACGGGAGATTTCGCGATAGACAATCGGAAAATGACCCACCAGTTATTGAGCCTCGACTTCGGCTCCAAAAAAACATCGTTGGCCAAAATATTCCAAACATCGGGTTTGAACGACGGCATCCCGGTTAAAGGCTCAACTTCTACGACGTCCCACGCAGGACCCATATTGCTGCAAAAATATGTCTCCATCACCGGAGGCTCCTCATCGAAAAGAGACGGACCGTCGTACAATAGTCCGTCATTCTCCTCAAAAACCACACCTTGTTGATCGTTGTGCGCAACAACGAGCTCAGTCTCGACGGGCGGAGGCGGCCACTCTCCGAAGGGATCCACTTCCAAGATGGTCTTCTCGTCGTCTGCATCGCCGGACAGTGGTTGTGGAGATCGTCGACGGGGCGCCCCGCCTGGACCACGACCTCCACTTCCTCCGTGAACTCCCCCGCGCACACCCCGGTCACCGGCGGCACGGTTCATCTGCAAATCCGTAACAATCACGTTGTTCGGCGTCAAACACACATCTTCAATCCCCGTCGAAAGATTGGCAAACAAATTCGTGAAACGCACGTCCAACTGTTCAAATCGGTAGTCGATCTGTTGAAACCGATCGTTGAAGGTTGCATCACTTCGTTTGTTTGCGGCATCTTGTCGTCTCGGCAGCATCACGATCGTACTGACTGCTGATACCAACTGATGTAGGGAAAAGCGTACGAATGGGAATATAAAAGAGATACTCTCTCTTGATAATACGCAAAAACAGATTTCTTATTTCATATTCAACTGCTCAATAACAAAGCATCAGATCTCTTTAAATAAAACCCTCACCCTAACTTATTCTAAGCTACTAATTATTAAATGATATTAATTGTTATAATAATAATAATAATAATAATAATAAATATTATTTATTATTCTGCACCAATGACTCAACGATTGAACTCTATGACTTGGCATGGTTTATTTTATCGGGATACAAAACATTGGTTCAAATATATATATTAGTTGAAAAGTTAGTAGTCCTTCTTCATCTGAGTTGGTCTTCAATTATAAAATCTAGCCAGAATCATATTTATAGTAATTGGTTTTTTCCTAACCACCAAAAATGGCCAGCACGTTGAACTTGTCCCTTGTTACTAAATTAGATGCCTAACATAGAAACAGCTACTGAGAACATTAGTATACACATAGGGAAACTGAAGATTTATAGAAAAAGATTATGTTTCACTACCTCAACTTTTTCGTCCTTTCCAAATTGCGTTTTTTATTTTGTCCCGTATGTTTGCAAAAAAACTATAAAAAGATCATTTTCGCAATAAAAATGTGTTTTATATTTTGCAAAAAAAAATGTCAATTTCGTCCCTTATGTATAAAAAGAATTTTTTGTAATCTTTCTACAAACATAGAGAAAGAAAATAAAATATGCAATTCAAAAAAGACGAAAAAATTAGAGTGAGGACTGAAATTGTAATTTACTCTATAGAAAATATTTGATTTAGTTATCAAAACTCTCAAATAAGCAGTCAATGCCGCCAAATTTACTAAACTCAGAAATCCATCATGCTGTCATACACCTAAGCATCAGTATATTTGCATTTCTCGTGTACCAGGATAATGATGAAGACTAGACGTGGCCACGGGTTACCCGGCCCAGCCCGAACCCAACACGGATCTGGCCCGATTAAACCCGTTGACCACGGGTTCGAGCCCGGCTCGAATTTCAAACAGGCCGGTCAAAGGTCTTGTTTTTTTCGACCTTGACCTGGCGGGCTGGGCCTGGCCCGGGCCGGGTCCGTGCCCACACACAAAATACATTGCATTTTAATTTTTTCCTTTTTTTAAATTTTTTATGTGGCCGGGTCCAGATCCAGGTCGGGCCCAGCCCGGCGTCAACCCGGCACGACTCCAGGTCCGTGCCGGTTCAGGGTCATCAAAACCCAACCCGGTGGCCCGGCGGGTTTTGGCCATGTCTAATAAAGACCGTGTATCTGAACTCGATTTTGTGTAAGAATTCGCGCTAACGGCATTGGTTCGAACACGATAAAACGAGTATATTTGCATTTGTCGTGTACCAGGATGATCAAAATTTAGGACAGCTTTAATGATATCATTATCCTAGCTAGTTGAGTACTCAAGATTCCTCTCGATTTGCATCTCACTTTTCACAAAATTTTAATCACTAACCAGCCGTAAAGGGATAAAAAAGCAATAGAAACTTTCTTTCTTCAAATCATAATTAGTCAGAAAAGCATTAAAAAAAATTATTCAAGATTTTGCTGTTCACATAGATTCACTGAAACAACAGTATATTGCTTGATGTAGCTGCTCAAGGATCAGAGTTAAAAATCTTGCATAATACATGTGGATCTATAAAGCAATTCCAAAAAAGTACCAAAAAAAAAAAAAA